GTTGTGTGGGACCCGCCATCCTTTGAAAAAGTTTGATGGATCATCTACTTCGGATGAAACCAGATGTTCGGCAACGGTTCTAACGTTCACGAGTTTTCCAAGCTTGCCTGTTTAACAGACGACGAGAATTTCGGGGGGTGATCAGGATCCCTTGAGGTTCTGTGCCCGCACATCTTCGAACACGACTGCATATGACTGTGTTGCCACAGCCGGGCGTCGTTCCACCTAAACCAAACCAAACAACGGAACCCCACAAAGTCATTTGCACGTTCGCGATGGTTTCCGAGGTGCGGGAAAGTGGCTCCAGAAGCATGGTGCGCATGTTTGCTGAATTTGGCCACGATCAGGAAGCCGGAAGACTTGACAAGTACGGAGGGGGGGCAACCATGAGGGACAAGAATCTAGAAGACCCCCGAGATTCTTCTGCCTCATCAAACCTCATGCCGAGAACCACGTCACAAACGTCACTCCTTGTCGGTGCAGATCGCCTCGGCCTCTTCCAAGGTGAAGCTGCGCTGCCGTGTGCAATGCTCCTGCCCAACTTTCAAGGGGCAATGGCAGCTTGGATTGGAGCAAACTGGGACCAAGATGGTCCCAAGAGAGATTCACAGCATTCCACCTGCCAGGCAATGGCTTGCAAGAACATCCGCGATTTGGGGCCCTTCCTTGGTTGCGAGAGAAACCATCTGCAACGCCGCAATAAAGACGCTTGCCGCCGAATTCTGCATAAGGTCTGCAACTTATTTGAGTCTCACCAAGGCACAGCATTTCCAGCTGCCGAACCGTTTTCAAGTCCGCTTCACCATCCCGAGACATGAACTTCCTTTCAGCACGGGACTTCCAACCAGGACATGGAACAGCGGGGACCTTCGGTCTCCGTCAGTTGCAACGGCTTACGAATGCCACCGAGCAACGCGGCATCAGCCTGGTGAAGCATCAACCTCGGAAGACCAAAACACTTCTCATGATGGAGCACATCTGAGCACCCGTAGGTACCAGTAGCAATCAGGACGCCAACAGGGCTCCACACGTGTCCACCCCGCATACACTGGAGAAGATGCTTATGAAAGCCTTTGAAAACCCCCACAGTTACTCAGGTCGAGCCACTTCAGGGCCCGCTGATACATGTCTGTCCTGGTTAGGACCACCGGTTGGCTGGATTCCTCCTGGCGTTGGCTCGAGCACACGCGCCCTATGACAAGTGAATGACAGGTGCACCAGTGCAGAGACACCGTGTCAAAGACACCGTGTCAAGAGCGATTTTGACTGCCAGCCCATTCTCCTTTAGGGACTTGCGCAAGACGTGTGTGAGCAGAGTCAAGCACATGGGATTGCCAGTCAGCCCTGCATAGGCCGGGTTCTCGATGATCGCCTTAGCTGAGCACAGAGACTCCCAGCATGAGTGCATCAGTACAGATGCGAAGAGGACCTACGAGTCCATGAGGACAAAAGAAGCAAAAGATCGAGAGATTGCACATCTTCACATCTCTTTCATTCTCTTTCTCTTCCAAGTGGCAAGCATCCTCTGGGTCCTCTCCTCCGATTCCTTGCTGCGTTGCAGGATCGAAGTAGCAATCTGCACGGAACTTTTAATGGGGGCAGCTTTGACATGAGGCACCCGATAAAGCCGTTGGCCGCAAGCTTCTCCTTCTCTGCAAATCCCAGCACCCCCGGCCGTGCGGTCAGCAAGGGAAAGTGGCAAGGCTCTGCCTCCAGCAGGGACGTGATGAAGAGAAGGATGTTGGTTCGTTCTGCTGCAGCCTCATCCAAACCATCCAGGAGCACGAACAAGCCCAGGATGTCATTGTTGTCTGCTACGCCTGCCTCCTCTTCATCCGCTGCTTCGTGGCTTGCTTGACGAACCTGTGTGATGAGCTGCACCAAGGTTGAATCCCCGCCGTACTTCCGAGCCATCCACACGGCCAGGAGATCATTCAGCACGTCGGGGTCAACGCCCATGTCTGGGGACTCTTGCAGCTGTCGCGCCAAATCCACCAATGGCACCCGGAGCGGGACCATAACTTGGTACGGCGCGCGAGGGACCGGCTTGGACTTCGTTGCCCTCCCTTCGTCTCTGGGACCCTTTCGCTCCGCATCTGCACGCTCGTGAATGGTCCCGACCTAGGTCGAGGTTTATTGTCTTGGTTTTTCCTAGGAAAAAACTCCATTCCCTCAGTATTTTCCTAAGACTCGCACTACTTTTCGTAGGATTTCAAAATTTTGGCTTCTTAATTTTGGGTCTGTTTCCTAAACGACAAGAGACCAATATTCCCTCTGTATGTTCATAGGATCTTGGATATTTTCATAGTAACAATACTACTTTTCATATGATGATTTCTTAGTAAGACGTCGATTAATGTTGCTGGAATCCTTCTTCATTTTGGCTCTGCTTCCTTGTTTTTGTCCTAAGAGAAGCTCTGGTCCCTTGACATATATAGTGGGGTCCACTGAATTCAGGCGGAGGGGTCCGGGGGGGGGGGCCATTTGCAAAAACAACGCACACATGATGGGTTTAGCAAGGACTCATGTCGTGCTGAAACACGCGGGTGGGTTTGCGGGGGAAGGGGGGTTCGTTTGCAAACACAATGCGCACATGATGGGTTTGGAAAAAAAACTTCTGGTATTGTAAGAAAATTCCATCGAGGCTCGCCAAATGCGAAACTGTCGTGGCTTTTGGACGTCTGGGTTCGCCAAATGCGAAACTGTCGTCACTTTTGGGCGTCTTGCATGTCGGGATGTTGAAGATCGTGCTCCCGCCTAGGTGCCGTGAGCGTCGACGTTGCAAACCCCGTAAACATCGTCGCTTTTGGACGTCTCTGTTCACGAGATGCGAAACTGTCGTCGATTTTGGACGTCGGGGGGGTGTTGTTCGAACAACAACTGCAGGAGGGGGGAACAACAACAACCTACCCCCCTCTACCCCCCTCCCACCCCGCCATCGAAGGGGGAAGGGGTATGCCTCACGTAGGGAATCACTGGAGCCAAGAGGACATGATTCCAAAAGACCCGAACCTCGAAACCCCCGTCCCAGTTGCCTCCATCTGGGCGACCTCGGCCAGAAGCTGCTTCGTCAAGACGGACTTGCCCGTTCCACCGTCACCGACCACCAAGGTCCGACCACAGAAAAGCCTCACGGAAGCAAAGCAAACAGAAAAAGGGGGTCTCTCTTTCTCTCTCTCTCTCCCTCCTGCACGCATAGCCCCCCCCTTCTCTCTCTCTCACTCTCTCTCTCTCTCTCTCTCTCTCTCTCTCTCCCATGTCTACCAACACATACCCCAAATACCCCAGAGATCTGGAAGCCCGGCGACTCCAGAGTCAGTAAATCTGGGGCAAACTGTTTGTACACCTTCGTGATCTTCGTCCACAGCGTCTTGGCCTTCGGGTCACAAGGGCTGCGGCTTGAGGTTTTCTTGGTGCACGGCAGGCTCCCTGACACAACGTTGGAAAACAATGCCCACTTCTTTGCAGAGTAAGACTGGGATCAGCTGTGAAACGCCGAGTTTGATGAGTATGCGACTGACCTTATTCAGCCTGTATTTACTTCGTCCCTTGGACAGCTTAACCTCCCGCCTTGTCAGGAAGGAGAATGAGACGAGTGTTCAGCGAACCCACGAACTTCAGTGCAAGCCTTGGACAGCAACGATCAGCAACGTATCCTCTGCCCAAAATGGCCGAAACTTCCACCAAGTCTCCAGTCTGTCATTTGCCGAGAAGCTCAACGCAATGCTCGGTGACGTTCACTTTCTCACGTGTGAGGATATCGGTCGTCCATGCCTCTGAAGCCCCGGCTTGGGCGCAGTACGTCTGAAACTCGAGCTCAAACCTTGGTAGACCACACAAAGGTCACAAAGGTGCAAAGGTACTCTTCGTGCCTGCAGCTGCTGAGACTGTTGAAAAGCGAATCGCGGAAAAGTACAACGGCATGAAATTTCAGGAATGATGCTAGAAGCACATATTTTTGGTACCCCCAACCGATCACAAAGAGCAGTCAGGGTCCCGGCTCATAAGCTGGAGCAGGACTCCTGCAATCAAGCTCGGCGGGTTCTGGGGCCCCACAAAGTTGTCACTGCTTGCGACTTGTCCTGTCTTGCGCCGCAGATGTACTCAATCGTCGACCTTTCTGTCCTTCCCACGTTCCCAGCGATTCCTGCCGCAAGGCCCAGAAGCATCCTATGCTTCGCATTCGCACTTCGCTGTGTTGGCTTCTCCAATTCCCCAGGACTAACAGTGACTAGCATGCTCACATGATAACGTGATGTCACCGTGATGTCCCATGACAGAGGGGTCGGAGGCCACCTCAAAGCCTGCGAACTCCACCAAGCGACGTGGCCCTGCCTCGATCCACTTCGAAGCTGTTGGACCGATGTCTTCCTTCATCTGCCACAAGAGGCGCTGGACACCGGCGACCGCCCAGTACCTGAGTTCGTCAAGATGATTAAGAGGGGCAGGGCCAGATACGGCCGAAGCCGTGCAAACGCAGGAAAGCGCCCAAACTGCGTGTCAAGGGACAATGCTCTCGTCTTCTGGTGCAAGGATGGCTCACTGTAGCTCTGCATTCGGGCCGACCATGCTGAGAGCGCAATCGCAAAAGGGGAACCATCCTCACAACAAAAAGCACCACCACATCAAGCAGAAGGCTTCTTGTCCAGTGCTATTCTAAGCGATTGGAAGCGGGAACTTCGGGAACCGTCAATGTACTTGCAGAGGCCAAGCTTCGTTCCCTGGTGAACCAGGACCACTTTCGTATAGGCACATGCAGTGGCGAATTCGCACCATGATCTGATAGAACAGCCTGGCAACAGGGTCGTCCTTCACTTCGTCCATCAGTGCCGACGGTAGATCGGTTGTCGCATCCGGGGTCGTGAACAGGATCTTGGCGATGGCCTGAATGCCCTTCTCATTGACAGAGTCCTGCAAGTACATAAAGGCGCATGCGGAGAGGAACTTCGACAGGTCCATCAGCACGTGTTTGCCCGACTCCACCTAGCAAGCATAGTGAGAAAAGACTCACCAACCACAAGTGCATCCAATGCCAATGGTGTTGGACGCAAGTTGCTTCAAAGACACTGTAGCAAAGTCAATCAGCCACACAAGACCCTGTGAATCAACGAGAAGGTTCCCGCCGTGCAGGTCATTGTGGCACAAACCTAGGAGGGCTCCATCCGCAAAGGGGATGGAGGGGACACAGCGGGAGCACTGTTCACTCAACAACATCATGCAGTTCCACATATGGCATGGTAGCTGTCAAGGGACAAGTTTATGAACAAAACGATACCCCTCCGATCAAGCGATGGCACGTTTTGCAGTTGGTCGACAAATTGGAGATAAAGAAATAGCGTAAAAAGCGTGCACCGTCAACGATGGAGCGAGTCTGCTTGCATGCGGGGCTCCCAGCTTCTCATGTTGCGAAGATGGGTCAAGTCACTTTGGAGATGCGTGGGGGCGTTTGGGGGGGGGAGGGTAGCCGCGGGTAGAGAATCGGAAAAAAAGATTTATATACTAACATGTGCCACAGGGCCGACCACCACAGGCCTCTTGAAGTGCTCTGAGAGCTTCGATTCCATACCCGAAAACTTTTGGAACATATCTCGCACGGTCTGCTTCCTGGGCTCCGCTGTGGCACACTGACTCATGCCAACAAACAACAGTTCCACATGCCCGAAAACGCATATGATCAGGAAGGACTCCGACCACAAAGCTCTTGGATGATCTTGCCTTCTGGATCCAGGTCGTCCACCTCCACGGGATTCTGGAATCCGGCTGCCAATGCCGGCGACTTTGCCGCACGCTTTGCACCCTCCTCACCATGATTTCAGCTTTATGCTCAGGTCCGGTCTTGGGTTTTAAGGTTCAAGATGCCGCTGTATGTTCATACGATCCAAACTTATCCTTTGACACTCACGAAAGCTGAAACGAGTACACTGTTTCTGATCATTCCGACATAATCTGACATTCTGCAAGCCTTTTGTCGTCTTTGTTGCCGCGCCTTGGCTCGATTGAGGATACCGTGGCCCACAAACCGCACGATCTTGTAGGAGTCCGCCAACGATAGAGTGCTAACCTTGCGATCTGACCTAAGCTGAAAGCAAGTGTGCAAGTTCACATTCCATAGGACTGGATTGCAGTGCATGGAATCCCCCATGCGCAGCCCTGAGTATCCCACATGGTGAAATGGTACATCCGCCTCTCCAGCGCCTCATTGATGATAGGAATGATGTCCACCGACATGCTTACCTGGCTCATCACAAAGCTCGTGTTTCGAACCTTTAGACATAACAGAAGCCAATGAAGAAACGCAAGAACGCGTTCTCATGCGCAGCCTCTTTGAGCTCCTCCTCCAAGATGGAGGCAAAGGTATGCACCGGCGGTGCCTTTGCAAACTCCGGGAGCCCGAAGACGCCGCCGCAGAGGTCGATCTGCATCACGGAGGATGGATCCTTCGTATCCACCAGAACGTAGTCCTTCACCTGCCAAGGGGCCCAGAGTTGAGAAGACCTTCTGATGTTGTGGAGTCTGCGGCTTTCTTTGCTTGAACATCATGACCGGAGAACGGAGGAAGCAAAAGCCACGCCTGAGGCGTCGTCGAACCAAAGAGCATCCTGTACTTGTTGGTCTTTTCCATCCTGACGTACACCAAAAGGGCCACTCCAGGAAATCAGATAAGACTTACTTCGGACATGCAAATGTGTGCCAAGACTCTCATCTTCGATGCCTTACGATCCCGATGGTGCAAAGCAACTGTCCAACTTATGGAACAATTTGTTTTCTTTGTCCTGTTACAGACTGGTGCCTCCAAGCAACACTCCTTGGAATCGAACTTCAGAACCGATGCAGGCATTGGAACATTGCCGTCCCGCATGGGTGTCATGAAGAAAACGGAAGCCCCACTGAAGCTCAAGCTGACTCGCTTCACCTTGAAGATCGGATATTTGCCTGAGATCCACTGCTCAAAACACAAGCAGAACAAGCATAGAGCAACCATAGGTTGCGTGCTTCATGATGTTTTATGCGACACTCAAAAGCTCGTCTGAAACTCGAGACGTGCTGCTCGATTCTTTCAACATGAAGAAAGACTTCTGCTGTGCTTCTGTCAACAGGTCGACATCGCCGACCATTTCGTGGTTTTCGATTTCGGCACTCGTTTGTTGCATATCATCGTCATCGACCAAAAAGTATCCTCAGATTGACAGATGTCTGCTGTTAACATTGGTCACATGGCTCGAGGACTCACAGTCCAGCCACAAGTTGAAAATCAACCTTCGAGCTTAAACTCAGCATGGAAACCTTGCTCAGCAGCCGCACTCACCTTTGCAGCATCCACTTCAAGGTCGATCTCCTCACACACGAAATCACGAAGCCATGCACACTTTGCCGAAACCGCCACTGAAGATCTGAGCACGAATCGTGCACAGCACACATCATTTGCCAACGTTGGGGTCCTTTGTGCCACCCATTAGTCTCACAACGTCACAACGACGACACTGCCAATCTCACTTCTCCCAACTGTGGCGTTTCTTGGGCCAATCAAGTGCATAGCAAGCGCATATCAATCGTATCGAAATTGTCCGACAGCTGACCAGTGAATTGGCACCCGACACCAACATGACAGACAGCAGGAAAGCCGCTTTGTAGATACAAGCCAGCATGAAAACAGGAACAACGCAAGCTATTTGCCAGACCAAAGCTCCACAGATTTAATGTTGGTTCTTGCAACACCTATCGCTCAGCGATGCCCGACTGCCTCGTTGCGCTGGCTCATGAAAGCATACATGCACTTCAGCAATGCCAAGCAGGCATAGGCATGATCGTTGCGCACGTGCCCTCGGTTGCTGTTCTGCAGATCAATTTTATCCAACCCGTTCTGCAGAAAAACCTTTGACAAAAAAGACACCGTGCCTTGGTACTGGCTTGCACACGACACCGTGACATTGAATTCGCTGTCCCCATGATTTGGCGGCTCACACACGAACCTTTCGTTGAAAAACGATGCTTGTGTTACTCGGGTTCATACTTGATAAACGCAAACGCCATGTTGTTCTCAAGAATTCACATGTGGTCGCTGACACAGCAACAAGTTCGAGGGGCATACCTGAACCGCAACATCCTTACAGGAACGATTGTCCACTCTTCCTGGGGTCCTGCACTCCTGCAGCGCGTGGATTTAGCGGGATCTTTGGTGTGTTCCGTTCTTGCGACATCACAGCCACTCAAGTAAAACGTGCAATTTTGTACGAACAAACAGAACTGACAGGACAACTGACACGGCAACCTCATTGAACAAAATGCGCCAAGCTCATGTGCAGTCGGACCTCAACAAGGCAATGGAATTAAAACAATAATGATGTTTCTCGAAACCGTTGAGTTTCGGCAAAATGCAACAGCTGGGTAATATAGGCCTCGTCGCAAACTTTACAGCTTTTTCACCCAAGTTTCCACCGTTTCACCTCTGCAAAGCCCAGAAGCCGAAACCTATGTGACCTCGAACAACACTTTTTTGGCTCAGCGCGGGAAAAGAGCCGGAGGGCTTGGGTTTGGAGTGTAGGTTTTCGGGTCATCCTGGAGTTGAGGCAACTTCCAAGCCACAAATCTGGTAGTTCCATCTCACGTTCTCTCATTTTTCAGTTCTATTTTCCAGGCTTGTGATTTTTGGTTTCCAAGTATGGACGGCTTTGCACCTCATTGCATGCGCTTAGTCTCCAGAGATCGGCCGTTTCTGCCGAGGCCTGCGCTGGCCAGCACAGGGGCCCGTCCGGGCGTGAGACGTTGTTGTGACTATCACGGCAACAGGCAACAGGCTTGACCCCATCAAGGTGCCCACTAGGTATTCCGATTGTAAGGACCAACCGGTCTGACTTAGGAGACAGTGTGCGTTGGTCTTCCCTCCTTGCCTTGAGACTGGTCGCTGTCTGGCTGACGCAGACCTCGCCCCCCCGCCAGCCCCCACCAGCCCCCGCCAGCCCCGCCAGCCCCGCCAGCCCCGCCAGCCCCCACCAGCCCCCGCGCCCCCACCCCCCCCGCCAGCCCCCACCAGGCTCGGCAGCCAGTGCCCACAGCCACCCCCCGGCACCCACCCCCCCCCCACCCCACAACCACCCACCCCACGCCCCACCCCGCCCCACCCTACCCACCCGGCCCACCCCGCCCACCGCCCCACCCCACCCCACCCGCCCCATCTCGCCACCCACACCCACCACCCCACCCTCCACCACCCGCCCACCCCCGCCCACCCCGCCACCCCGCCACCCCGCCACCCGCCACCCCACCACCCCACATGATACTCCCTGCTGTTCTCTGGCCTGGTGAGGGCAAGTGCATCATGTGATAAGTGTGTTCTAGAAAATTGTTCTCCGCGACACTGTGCCCGCCAGCAGCGGCAGTCGGACCGTTGGTCACGTGCTTCAAGTGCCGTTGGTGCCATGTTGCCTTCGGAGATTCAGCCTTTTCCCCAAGATACAAGAAATACACAGCGGAAGAAAACCAAGGTCAACTAAGTTCCGGCTGTCTCCATCTTGGGTAGTTCTGAGCAGGCTGACAGAAAGGTTGATTGGTGAGTTCACAATGCAGCCTTGAAGATGCACCGCCGGCGGCGGCGGAGGACGAGGGCAAGGTGCGCCGCGTGACGCAACGCAGCCTAGGCTTTGCAGCCATTTTCAGCATCCGTCCAACTTCCGCGCACAATGGACAGCTTGTACAACTGCTGGAGGCAGACAGAAGCTGGGCACTCTGGATGGACTCGAAGCACTGGGCATCATTCTCCAGCCAGTTAAAACCACGGCCACCTGTGTTCAAGAGCATGGTAACACATGCTGTTGCTTGTGACAGCAGCTTGAGCATGATAACGCAGTTCATCTATCCCGCCCAGCCCGCCCCGGAGTGTCTTTGCACTTTTGAGTGGGGTTGCGTGCAGCGAATGTAAGAGCCTTGGAAAGTGCATGTCAGCTTTGTCTTCCTGCGTTGCCACGCTTGTAAAGTGTTTTGCATTTGTTTGGAGCTGTGCAAGCACCTTGAGTGGCATTTGAGTTGTGCGAGCTGTCTGCGACTGTGTAGCTTCGTTTGAGGATGGGCCCCCCCCCCTTTGGGCAAAGGGGGGCTTAAGCCCCCCTTTAAGCCCCCCCCTTAAGCCCCCCTTCAAAGGGGTCCCTGCAAAGGGGGTCCCTTCGGGGGGGGGGGGGGGGGGGGGGGGCAAAGGGTCAAAGCCCTTAAGCCCCCCTTAAAGCCCCCCCTTAAGCCCCCCCTTAAGCCCCCCCTTAAGCCCCCCCTTAAGCCCCCCCTTTAAGCCCCCCTTAAGCCCCCCCCTTAAGCCCCCCCTTAAAGCCCCCTTAAGCCCCCCCTTTAAGCCCCCCTTTAAGCCCCCCTTTAAGCCCCCCTTCAAGCCCCCCTTTAAACCCCCTTTAAAGCCCCCCTTTAAGCCCCCCTTTAAGCCCCCCTTTAAGCCCCCCTTTAAGCCCCCCTTTAAACCCCCCTTTAAGCCCCCCTTTAAGCCCCCCCTTAAAATGCCCCCTTAGAGCCCCCCTTTGGGCAGCAATTTAAGAGGCGTAATACTTGCTGGGCCTTCTGCGGAGGGTTTAGGCAGCAGTTTAAGAGGCCTAATACTTGCTGGGCCTTTTTTGGAGGGTTTGGGCAGCAGTTTAAAAGGCGCAACACTTGCTGGGCCTTCTGCGGAGGGTTTAGGCAGCAGTTTAAGAGGCCTGACACTTGCTGGGCCCTTTGTGGAAGGTTTGGGCAGCAGTTTAAAAGGCGTAATACTTGCTGGGCCTTCTGTGGAGGATTTAGGCAGCAGTTTAAGAGGCCGAATACTCGCTGGGCCTTTTGTGGAGGGTTCGGGCAGCAGTTTAAGACGTCTAAGAGGCGTAATACCTGCTGGGCCTTCGGTGGAGGATTTAGGCAGCAGTTTAAGAGGCCTAATGCGAGCATCGTGTTTGCAAATGGGGGGGGCTGCGCCCCCCCCAACCCCCCCGCTTGTTTAAGCCGGGCAAACTCGCGTGGAAGCATATGAATCATGTCCAAAACAAAACAAAACATGGGGTTCTCGGCTTAGCCCCGCGCCACGTCACTGCTATGCAAATGGGGGGGGCTGTGCCCCCCCCAACCCCCCCGCTTTTTTCTGCCGGGCAAGCTCGCGTGGAAGCATATGAATCATCTCTGAAAAAAAACATGGGGTTCTCGGCTTAACCCCGCGCCACGTCACTGCTATGAACTCTCTGCTCCTTGAAACTCGAGTAATGAACACAAAAAACAAAAGAAGAAGCGAGCGGGGTGGAATTGCCCTTAAGCTCCCCTTTAAAAAAAGTCTCACTTCTCTGGTTTCGAAGAATGAAACCCAAAAAACAAAACAAGATTCGAGGGGGCTTTAGAATACATTCCCTTCTTTCTTTTCGTAAAGGGAAATGACTGTTTAGAGTCTCACTTCTCTGGTTTCGAAGAGTGAAATCCAAAAACAAACACAAAATGTAAAACAAGATTCGAGGGGGGTGGAATTTAGAATACATTCCCTTCTTTCGCTTCGTAAAGGGAAATGTATGTTTAGAGTCTCACTTCTCTGGTTTCGAATAATGAAATCCCAAAAAAAATACAAATATATAACAAGATTCGAGGGGGGTGGAATTTAGAATAAATTCCTCTCTCTCTCTCTCTCTCTCTCTCTTTTCAAATGGAAGTTAGAGCCTCACTTCTCTAGTTTCGAAGAACGAGATCCAAAAAACAAAACAAGATTCGAGGCCTTCTCTCTCATCTTCAAGATAAAGTAATGTTTAGTCGCCCTCAAGCCCCCTTTTTTCAGCCCCTTTAAGCCCTCCCCCTTAAGCCTCTCTACCCCCCCCTTTAAGCCCCCTTCAAAGCCCCTTAAAGCTCCCCTTCAAGCCCCCTTTAAGCCCCCCCTTGAAGCCCCCTTTAAGCTCCCTTGAAGCCCCCCTTCAAGCCCCCTTTAAGCCCCCTTCAAGCCCCCCTTTAAGCCTCCTTTCAGCCCTTAAAATGCCCCCTTAA